GTAGTAACTGTAAAAAATAAAAAGACAAGATTGTGACTGTGTGCAATGTTGCAATAAACACGTTTTCCGAAGATTAACAGCTTCAAAGCTATTAACCTTTCACTGGGAGACATCCATGCATAAAAAGTGTAACACATTAAACTCTGCATAACTCTACACTTCGGAATCCAAAATAAATTGTTCAAGTTATGCAAAGATTCCAATTAAGAAATGTTCATGTTTATTTCAGCTTATCCGAAAAGAAAAAAAAAATGCTCCATATGAGATAATGATAATTCAGGCTATAAGATAAGGAGCCTACTTTTCATGAAATAATGATTAAGAAACCACTGATTTCTTCTTTTTATGCAGGTGCCAGCATTTATGGAGATCGTTTTGAAGATGAAAATTTTAAGCTGAAGCATTATGGATCTGGTTGGTTGAGCATGGCTAATGCTGGCAAGGACACAAACGGATCTCAGTTCTTCATAACGACTAAAAAGACAAATTGGTTGGATGGGAGACACGTTGTATTTGGAATCGTCTTGGAGGGAATGGTCAGTGTACTATTGATCTGAAGTTGAATGAAAATGATCAAATGTAATATTATGTGGAGGAGTTGTTATAAATTGCACCACCCTGTTATCTAAAGGTGTTGCAGGGCTTGAAATCCCTATTGCCTACTTGCTGAGCAGAGCAAGTGGCAGAAAGTAGGCTAACCCTGTATTGGTGTTTGGTATGTTAGCTCTAGTTGCAATGTTAACTGTTGAAATTGAAAAATTTCTATTAGAATTATATTATATTTTTTGCATTTACTATCATTGAAAATACCAACGTTAAACATTAGTGAAATTATCATGAAAAAAAAAAAAAAAAAATGTGCCAAAATCTTTTCCTTTTTTTCAGAATGTGGTGAGAAAAATTGAAAATACAAGCACTTCACAAAATGACCGACCTTCTAAAGATGTTGTAATAGTGGATTGCGGCGTACTGCCTCTTGACAAACCATTCGCTGTTGGCAAAGGTGATGCTGCAGAGTAAAGGACCAAATAGCTTTATAATCTTTTTTTTTTTAAACTTCATGTAAAAATTAATGGGTCCATAAGATACAATTACCAAAATACCTATTTTGTCATTCAGTTTCATGTTTTGTGATGGTATGCCCTAAAGTTTGTTTGTCCATTGAGTGCTGAACTAGTTGGAAAGACTAGTTGGAGAATAAGTTAACACAAGTGCAGAAGAATCTTGCAATGAGCAGACTGTCAAATAATTACTTTCAAGAAAACGTTTTTTGAATTTACAGTAATAAAAATATACAAATGTGATATTGCATTGATGCCTGTGTGTACAGGGGGAAATCAGCCTTTTGTTCAATTAATGGATGCAATAACAAGAATAAACAACTTTTGAACATAACTTGTTTTGTTCTATAGTGCATGTATGTCAAAAACCAAAAAGGTCACAAAATAAAAGGAAATGCACGAACTCTGTCAATAACTTGAAGAGACCCAGATTTATGTATTGTCCAGCAAACAAATTGCCTCCCACCTGCTGAGGTACATGCATTATGCCTGAATGACAGCATGCAGGTGTGGCAATCCTACAAATCACTTCATTCAATTGAAGATATCTCCAACATAAAAAACAATTTCCAAGGTTTCACGTACAAATCTCCTTCCATTCAACTGCAGATATCTCCAACCTCCAAAAACAGTTTCCAAGGTTTCACCTACAAATCTCTTTCCATTCAATTATAAATATCTCCAACCTCCAAAAACAATTTCCAAGGTTTCACCCTCAAAACCAAAGTTTTATCTGTTTTGTTTGAATATTTTGGGGGGTTTTCTTTTTCTGGGGTTTTTAAATTATAAAGTACGGCTTTTTCGGTACGTAGCATTTCATCAAGTGTCTCTTGCCTTGTTAAGTTTTTCAAGGTAACTTCTTTCAGCAGTTTTTCATGCATGCTTTTATATTCATCTCCTTCTGGGATGACTTTAGTTAACTCGGCCATCTGGAATAAAAAATTAAGAACAAATATCTTGGTTCTCCGGGGTTTCTAGGATAAGTGAACTAAGATCATGACAATTTACTGTTAATGACTTGGACATTCTTTATTTTAAATACAACCTGAAAATGGCAATTGGCATTGGCTAAATTATTTTGGCAATTCCACAAACCTGCCACTGTAACATATAAAGCAAGAGGATCAGAGAGGCAATAACGCCTCCAGGTATTGTACCACTAGCTGGATTAAAAGCACTTGCATGGAAAAAAAGGGATACCACCTCCAGTGTTGTACTTGACAAGCTCTACAAAATATAGTAAACAAGACCCCCCCCCTCCCCCTTTTTTTTTTTTTTTTTTTTGAAAATTTGATTTATAAGAAAAAATCGTGGGGAAAAGTAAAAGGTAAAATTCAGGAATGCAGTAAGACTGTGAATATAGGATATATATGGGTACATAGGCTCTTGTAGTCTAGGGAGAAGTGGTAACATGGCAAGGGACGCGACAGGTAGGGACTAAAACCATGTGTACCGCCAGTGCCGTGCTAGTGGTACAATAATTTAAATTCCATTTTCACTTGCCTTGGTGTACAGGAGTTGGGGTTGCATAGATCATAGACTACATATTTTACTAAAAAAGAGAATGAGGGTATTAAGTAATCTGTGAATTATTAAATAGTGCACGGACTTACCACATCTGATGCAAAGAGTGCTCTTTGAGGGATGTTTGAATTGTTCAAGAGGTCATTTGCCATTTTTATTGCATGCTCCCAATCCTTTGAGGCTAAATAAAACGCGACCTTCAAAAAATGATAAATTCATTAGGAAAGGGCTTTAAAAATGTCTTTCAAATCTAGTTTTGACAAAAGGTTAAATTTCAGGAGGATGCACAAAAAATTCTTTCATTCAAATAATATTCAATTCAGAATTACAGCTATCAGTATAATCACCACAACAAAATTCATTTGATAAAATGAACATGCCTGTAACAACAGGCTTCCCTTAAAAAATAGTGCATTTACTTGATCTATGGTCTAATTCTTACCTGTGTATTTATAAGCAATTTATCTGGCTTTGTCCAGTGCTCCGTATACTCAAACAAAACTTGTTCTGCATATTCCATGTCCCCCTGTGCAAAAGAAAATAAATTCACCCTGCATTCACAACAACGGACTAACTAGTCCGCGGATCAAATATGGCCGAACCATTTGAATGTTTGTTGCGTAAACCCCTCCGGGAATCTCTCCAGTGTCTATAAGGGGATTAAACTGCAAGCTTCTTACTGGGTCGCCATATTTGATCCGTGGACAAGTTATTGTGAATGGGACCAAAGTAACTCTAATTCTCTGCTAGTTTTGGAGAAATAGAGACTACAAAATTTGCAAAATGCATTTTATGGGGAAAAGTAGGTCAAAGGTCAAACTAGAGGATCAGAGAGGCGATATTACCTCCTGATATACAGTAGTACCACCAGCAGGTGCATTCAAGTTGAAGGGGAAGTATGGATGAATGTGTGTTAGTTTTGGAAAAGTAGGGTATAGTAGGGCAAATATGGTGAGAGTATTTTATGGGGGAAAATAAGCTTAAGGTCCAATTTAAATGTAGATGAAGATGCTCAATGTGTGATTGTTTATGGATTATGCAGTTTGTATGTAGCATATAGTTTAGTTGATTGAGTTCATTGTACGTAGACAGTGTTCCCGAAAAACATGTCCATTATTAATTGAAAATGTCCGATGTGAAACGTCAGCATGTCAGTCAATGTCAGTCAATGTCTGTACTATCAAATATCTCGGGCCAGATGCCAGTGCTTTTTGCCACTGCATGGAGTGCCCCGGCTGAAAAAGTAGAATATACGTTGATACTAGTGTTGCCATAACAAGCATTTTCTAGCCTCCTTACGAAATTCAGGGATTAAGCACATAGTTTGTACAACTTTTTATTAATTTTTAAATTTACTTTAAAAAGCAAATGCATCGTCTACTGCAACTTACTTTATTGTTTTGAACTAAAATAGAATATCCACGCTTGGACTCCGAATCAGATTCTCCCAAATAACTCAATTGTGTAGTTAATAAATTTCACCGAAAAGTATTCCCCACTAATACACGTTTGGCTTACCACTGATGAAGCGGTTCAGCCCAACTTAGTAGCCACTCAGTTGAGGGGTGAGCATATGTCGACAGTGCAGACACAGTGGCACCATTCTCAATCTCCCCCCACTGCAGAGCAGTACTTGAAGTTGATATAACTTGCATAACAAGGCAAATATCTTTTTGGTTTCTGCTCAGCTGCCATAAAGTACAGATTCAGTGATAAAAACGACATGACAACTTTTTAATTTTTAAAAAAGTAAATAGTGGATTTTAAAAATAAATGTGAGATGATCTTAATAGTTTTTCTTAATCCAACATGCATGATGGACTATGGGCGGCGGTTTATACAAAAATGCAAAACACGATTAGTCGTCATCGTTATCAGATCAGTCGAAATGAAAA